CCCGGACTTACAAACAGACAAAAATTATAATCACAAATGTAGATCCAGCCGTAAGCATTCTTTTAAAAAAATAGGTTTCAACTTTTAAACCTATAGTTTTAACTTTCCTACAATGTATAGATAACAAACAGAATCTTGTATGAAATTAATGATATACCATTTTGCAACTGTTGTACGAATAATAACAGACTAAATCCCAGGTGGGTTGAAGATCGCAGCTTAGATCAGGTTTATCAAATAACATTATGTGTCGTATGTCAAATAACATATTATTTATGTAGTCCCTTTAGTCGGCACAAATTACGACACCCACAGAAATAATAGAGATGGTAACAAGATGTAATGTTCTCTGCGCTCACAAGAAATAATCGATGTAACCGAATTTGAGAGAGCTTCAAGCTAGATTGGCGAAAATCAGGCAAGAACCGCGAGAATTGTTGATGATTTAAGTGTAGGAGAGCCATGCTTCGGCACGAATGGGCCGGGCAGAAAACCATGGTGAAACAACGCTTGTGTTTTGATGCCAAATTACTAATCCCCGAATCCCCAATAATGCTAAAATTCCTAATCCTCAAAAAGCCAGTAACGCACTTGCCTCTGGTGTTTCGGATGTCTACAGGCGGCGCCGATTGCTTACAATCAGGTGATCCATCTTGATTACCGGCTTATTCCATAAAAAATCTCCTATCAGAGGTCAAGATCCACGTTGGCTCGCTGAGACAACGGAAAAAGAAAGTCACTATACGCTTTGCTATGTACCTACATGTGCTTATAACGTTTGAAACATCGATAAATCATTAGTCAATTGTTCCTATGGATTATTCAGACGTTGATTGGCCTCATAACTCCGGAGCTAGTTTGGTGAACCAATTGGACTGACGTATGGGTAAATAAATAATTGAATTCATTACATAGTTTACTTTAGGAGTATATGGGGAGTAGGAAATGTGGTATTGTTGATATATTGTGTTTTGGACGTCAAGGACTTACATTTAAAAGTTATTTTTATGTGAAATACAAAAGAGTAGATATAACTTAAGTTCACAAGCCGGAGGTGCACACAACTTAACGGGATGCCGGGGCTCCGGCTCGAAGTGCAGGAGTAGGAACAGGGTGGTTTTTTATTCAGTGAACGCCTGACAATACTGAGTGGAGCCCCCTCAACGTCAATAGATATCGCGGCAAGCCCAAAAGGAGATGGCGGGGCGAACTGGACATTATGACAAAGATTAGCCGCAAAAAGTTTAACATAGAGAGAATTGGAAGAAGGGTAGGGAGGAGGAGGGGCTTTTGCCCTGTAGTGGGACAATCATGGCTGAAAATAAAATAAATAAATAGTCTGACACTATCCCTCTCAGCTCACCCGAGGTGGAAGTGGTTCTACCGCCCGGGTGAGGCGTGAGAGAGTGTCAGACTATTTCTTACTAAAAACATCCCCGTTCCTACTCCTGCACTTCGAGCCGAAGCCCCGACATGTGTAATGGTCTGATAGCTCGGATCTGGTTCTGGTTGTCGCCCGGACTGTCTCCAGCGGCTGGGGCATCAGAAGGTTCGTTACCTGCCGCGCCCCGCCTCCTCCTTGGCTAGCATGACTGCTTCGCAGAAGTAGACGGCATCCCAGTCGCCCTCGCTCCGTACCATGGCCTGAACTAGACCCTGACGCGACAGGTCGCCGTCGCCGACTACATCCCTGACCACATGGCAGACTGGCACAAACACGGCAACACGTGAGCACCGAGACACGAGAGTACACCACCGAACTTCCAGACTCCTGGCTATTAATGGTCATTTTACTCAGAAAACGCCATTATCATATTTCGCTCGACGCGGGAATCGAACCCGCGACACATTACACAGAAAAACTTTGTAGTTAGGTAATAAATACCTGATATTTGGATATTCATGTCTCATCCCTAACTTTCAGGGACGTCCATAACTAGGTACCTCCCTAATCGTATAGATAACAAACGAAATTCGATCACTTTCGAACTTGAATCAATTTGGACAACCCTTATCTTACTTAACCGTTTTAAGGCGTTTTCACCGACATCTTATATCTTATATAATACTAGGTGTTGCCCGCGACTTCGTCTGCGTAGATAATGATTCCTGGTTTATGCCATGCGAGCAATTAATTGGGATAAAAAGATTATCCTATCAACTAAGTCAGACCATACCCTGCCTGTATACCAAATTTCATCAAAATCCATTAAGTAGTTTCAGCGTCATTGACGAATAAACAACCAAAGAAACTTTCACATTTATAATATTAGGTTGAATATGTAGAGTTGATTCAAGAGTTTCTTTGTTTTTTTTGTCGACCTTCTGTCATTTTTTTTTTGTTGGATAATCAACTTGTCGAAGAACGCTATAAAACGATCATTAAGATTCGTACACACCGAGCAGATAGGATATAACCGTGCGGAATAGTTAGTATAGCATAACTTCTTTCTTGACTACAAGGTATTTTTTAAGGGGGGAGAATTATCGAATGACTGCTCGCGCCTGAGTGAGGCGGGAGGGACTGTCAGACTCTTACTGACTGAAAACCACCCCGTTCCTACACTTACCCTTCGAGCCGGAGCCCCGGTAACCCGTTAGGTTCTCCGCGCGGTGTCCTTTGTGATGGCTGGGTTGTGAAAAGGCAGGGCTTCGCTGCCTCACGCGTCCCGCCTCCTCCTTAGCTAGCATGACTGCATCGCAAAAGGAGGAGACGACATCCAATTCCGCCTCGTTCCGCTTCATGACCCGCACTAGGGCCGAACGCGAGAGGTCGCCGTAGCCGATCAAATCCCTGAGGGCACGGCGGTGCTCAGCCCACCCAGGGCATTCGCCTACTGCGTGTTCCACCGTGTCCTCAGGGCGGCTCTTGCAACCTCAGGGCGGTCCTCGCAGTGACTACAAGTATTACAGACTTTAAAAAAAATTAAGTTGGTTTTTTAAACGTTGGTTTTAAGCTGATAGACATACGATTTAAAATTGGCTGATGAATTCGATAGACGTCGTTAAGATATTCAATCGACTATCGCCGGACTTAAAGTCAAAGTCAAAGTCAAAGCATTTATTTCAATTAAACCATAATTTGGTACTTTTGAAACGTTAACAAATACAAAATAAATAATAGTCGGTCAGTCAGTCCGTCAGTGAAATTAGGTGAAGCTAGGTGCTCATTCCAAAACGTAGATTCGAATGGAGAAGAACGAGCAAGAAACTCCATTCGTTACTCTTTTTTAAAAAAGTATGTTCTACAATGTCTCTGATACATATTTCAATAATGTACGCATATGTAAGAACAATGCAAAGACACGCTTGATGCATTATACTAATAACTTACTAAAATAAAAATCTTAAGTCTAACATGGTGCTCACATATGCATACTGACAATCCATAGAAATAGTGCTTCTATACAAGAAAAAGGAAACTCTTTGTTTCAATAAAGAAAGAAATGCTTTAATTTTAGGTTAGTTATGGCCCATAAACCTAAAATTAACTAGCGTGGACATAAGATTGGTCTCCTGAAGTGTATTTAAAATTTTGGCTATAAATCCAATGTCTTAAAACGAGGTAAGAAAACCACAAAACATTTCAGAAACATATTTATTCCTTTAACAAAATATAAGAAATATATTACAATTAACAATCTACACAATATATTAACATTCGATTGAAATATCTGTAAGACTATACCTTAATATCATATTAATGTACATAATAACAATTATTTGTACCTAATTACCAAATCACAACATTTAATATCTGAAAAAGTTTATTAATATCTTTTGGGTAGATAACATTTTAAATGGTAATCTCCAATGCCTTCGCCAAGCGTGGAGGTTATAGCAAACAATCACAACATATAACATCACGCCTTTTGTCCCCGAAGAGGTAGGCAGAGGTGCACATTATACCACTGTACAATGTAACACCCACTTTTCACTATTTATGTTACGAGTCCCATGTAATAGGGGGTGAGCCTATTGCCATATACCGGGCACAATTCCAGACTCCGTGCTACTACTGAGATTTAAAAAAAAAACCCCAGTAATAATTTGCCCGACCCAGGAATCGAACCCGAGACCCCATGCCCGGCAGACGCACTTGCGACCAAATATGACAAAAAAAATTATCCAATTCGGTGCATTCGTTTGGGAGTTATGCACGTACATACATTTTAACGATCCATTTTTAACTTTAACTAGCGACCCGCCCCGGTTTCGCACGGGTGCAATGCTTATGTAAATATACCTACTACAGAATGACCTTATACACAACGTTCACAGCTTTTTTGTCATCATGTATTATACATATAAACCATCCTTAAGAATCACTCTATCTATCAAAAAAACCGCATCAAAACCCGTTGCGTAGTTTTAAAGATCTAAGCATACATAGGGACAGACAGACGGCGGATAGCGACTTTGTTTTATGCTATGTAATAAAGAAGGAGGCTCCTCATTTTGACCGTATAATATTTCCAGCGGTTACTCCAATCTATACTAATATTGTAAAGCTGAAGAGTTTGTTTTTTTGTTTGTTTGTTTGAACGCACTAATCTCCGAAACTACTGGTCCGATTAGAAAAATTCTTTCTGTGTTGTATAGCCCATTTATCGAGGAAGGCTATAGGCTATAAAATATCACGCTACGATTAATAGGCGCCGAGCAGTGCGAGTGAAACCGCGTGGAAGTAGCTATTGTTATATATTCCGCCTATTCCAAGTCATAATCTCATCCCGATTCTAAATTTCATCCCGATCTCTTCAGCTTTTGTCGTGAAGGATACATCCCAATCCCGCTTCTCATGCATGAGAGTGCGGGTTCGTAACCTACCAACGGCAAGTACCAATGTGACTTTTTCCGAGTTATATGTACTTTCTAAGATTATTTAGACACCACTGACAAACGGTGAAGGAAAACATCGTGAGGAAACTTGGACTTATGATTTATAATTATAAGTTTGAAATTGCCAACCCGCATTGAGCAAGCGTGGTGATTAATGCTCTAACCTTCTCCGTGTGAGAAGAGGCTTTGCTCAGCAGTGGGCATTTATAGGCTGTTAATGTGATATGACACTTATACGCAATTATTCGAAAACTGAGTACAAATTTTTAGCTTTACATTAAATATATATATTATTTCTGTTTTATATATTACTGAGACATAGTAAATGAATAATGTTGTGTGACTTACTCACGTAACTATTCGAGTAGGAAGCTCGACTACTTTCAAGCTAAAGATTGGCGCTGCGAACCTCAGATTATGAGCCCCGCGTGTAGCTTGAAATTAGTCGAGTTTCTCAGTTAAACAGATTATACAACAAAATTGATTTTTATATTATTTTTTTTACAATTTATACACTTATCTGCTAGAAGTCTCTTGTGCATACATTTTTTTAAATTCTTCTCTTAAAAATGAGGCTTCTGATGTCATTTCTTCTCTCGACCTTGGTGGTTTCGATGGGTGGCCGGCTTTGAACCTAAAGTGAATACAGATAAGGTTTAAAATCCATTAGTTACTTTAAATATTACTGAATTGTTGACCTGATTTTTGAGTTATTATAGTGACTAATTTTTATTCTAATGTCAGTCTGGTAGATTATTTAAGAACAATAGACACCATATTTCTTTATTTTCTTACAAAACCAAATACTTTCGACTATATATTGATTTGTAATATCGCGTGACGTCACTTTTGTGTACGTTTTATACTCAAAATGACGTAGCTACCTCCCACTTCTAAACTTTGATTCGTTTTATGTAAGTACCTTACATATACGACAAAATAAAAAAATACGTATCTAATATTTTTTCATTACCTAACGGACGGACTAATTAGATTTTGAATTTTCATACCCTGTCATCATCCCTATTCCAAACTCCGTGCTACAACGACAATGTACCAGAAACCAAAAAGGCCCCCAATAATACTCTGTATGACCCGGTAATAGAACCATATACCCCTTGTTCAGCAGTCGCACTTGCAACCTTTCAACTAATGAGCAACAAGGTGTAACATAAATTGATAAAAAATGGGGTAAATAGAGTCAATAATAACGTCTCTGGCGTTCCAGGTGTCAATGGGCGACGCCGATTGCTTACCATCAGGTGATCCGTCTGCTCGGATTATCGCATAAAAAAAAACTTACTGATCATGTTTAGCCAGTTCCAAGTAGATCAAGTCGTTCTCTATGAAGTCTCCTTTCTTCCGCGGCATTATGTGGCAATGGAGATGCTGGAACAATATAGCATCACTTAAAACCCCTGGAAGCCTAAAGCAGTAAGTAGAGTAATATACCTATACAATGTAATTCCACATTTTAACCGACTAAAAAAAAATCCTTTAGACTGCTTTATTCTTATTTAAATACAATGCAATGTGGAGCAATGAGGGAGTCGTGTTACTATTACGAATAACTTTAATTGAGTGCCCTAATAACTTACACTACTTACTTATAGGGCGAGGTGTCACACACACTACAACAACGTTGGACACTTTTTTTTTTAAGGGAGGAAAATCATCGAATGACTGCTCCCGCCTGGGTGAGGCGGGAGGGAGTGTCAGACTCTTACTGACTAAAAACCACCCCGTTCCTTCTCCTGCACGTCGAGCCGGAGCCCCGGTTACCCGTTAGGTTCTCCGCGACAACGTTGGACACTAGGATTTTCTCCCGTGTCGTGTGTACGTTTACAAACTTACAATTACCCTTTGCCCAATAACCCTCCCCTTCCCCAATCTCCCCAATTCCTGAATCCCCATCGATCCTCAAACTCCTAATCCCCAAAGGGCCGGTAACGCACTTGTAACGCCGCTGGTGTTCCAGGTGTCCATGGGCGACGCCGATTGCTTACCATCAGGTGATCCGTCTGCTCGTTTACCGACTGATGCCATAAAAAAAAGAAAAAACAAGTTCACATACACATCACACACAGACACGAAACAACAATTTGTGGATCACACAAAGAGTTGCTCCGTGCGGGAATCGAACCCACGACACGTTGCGCGGCAGCCGGTTGCCCATCCACCACGCAAAACGTGCAGTCATTTAAAAAACTACATTTAAAAAACCGACTTCAACCCCCATTTTTTGAAGTCAGTTAATTAATATAAGTACTATACTCGGAATTTTAATTCGATTCCAGATTTGACAATTTCAGTGTTGCAACGTTATGACAAGTACTAAATAGTGACGTTGCGAAATTATTCGATATGGAAATGCAATATTTCTGGATCGATTCTTCTCGTTTATAATTTTACTCTCGTAAACTAAGTATATCAGGAAATCAAATATTTCTGAACCGATAATTTAGTTTTGACGATTAATTAACGATCTGAGACTTTTCTTTTATAATTGTGTGTGAAATAAATAATAAAATGTAATCATGAAGGAACATGACAAATAAAACAGATAGATGTATTATGGTAATAAGTTATTTTATAAATTGTCACCGTCATCGCTATCGCTATCCTGTCACTTTCTGTAACATTTATTATAAAACACACACACTGATTGTTTATCGATTTTTGTGTTCATCACTACACTATTATATGTGGTATCATTATTTCACAAAATGACAGTAGCTATTGTCAAATCTGGAATCTAATTAAAATTACATAACATAACATCACGCCTATCGCCGAAAGGGTAGGCAGAGGTGCACACAGAAGTAACACCCACTTTTCACTACTTATGTTATGAGTCCCATGTAATAGGGGTTGAGCCTATTGCCATATACCGGGCACATTTCCAGACTCCGTGCTACTACTGAGATTTTTTTAAAAGCTCAGTAATACTTTGCTAATTAAAATTCTGACTATAAAACATTCTCCTAACTGAAACGAACGCTTTTCTGAAATAGCGAGATACAGTGAAACTTGGTTAAGTGGGACCTGGATAAGTGAGAAACCTCCAAGACTGGAACTCATGCTGAGGTCCCAACACTTTGTCACTGAATTACCTCTGTTAGTGGGACGAGGTAAACCTCTATATCTGGGATTTGTTCTTTCGATTTATCATCATAATTACCTCTATAACTGAGACAGCGAGTAAATTTTATACGCATAAACCTCTGTAACTGAGATAACATTGTTTGTTTACTCATTCTTATTCTACCCACAAATTCCACACGTAATTCCAAGTCCACCTCTATAAATCGAACCCTCTGTAAATGAGACAGATATTTATTTCTATCTGTATATCTGAGACACTGAGTAAGTGGAATACCTCTTTAAGTGAAACGACATTGCAGGTCCCTTGATGTCTCACTTAACCAGGTTTCACTGACTGACTTACCTTGACCGTTTGCCCAGCATTCATTCCATCTTGTATGGTCACCGTACACGAGTCCGCCTCATGCACTTTTTCCATTAACTGTGAAAAAAATCATATTTAATGAAATTCCCATCATGATTTTTTGAATGGGACAAGCCCGCTGTATAACATATATAACATCACGCCTTTTTATCCCCGAAGGGGTAGGCAGAGGTGCACATTACGGCACTTAATGCCACTGTACAATATAACACCCACTTTTCACTATTTATGTTACGAGTCCCATGTAATAGGGGGTGAGCGTATTGCCGCTACTACCTCCCAAAACCGTTGTAACTCCTGTTAGCCAGGATTTACAGTAGCCACAACCATTAAAACACCGGAACACTGAAGTCCGGCGCGTCCCAGGGACATGAGTAACTCAGAATCAGAAGTGAATTAGAAGATATTATAAGAGGAGAAGAAAAAAAAGATAGTTTCCACTTCCCTCGGTGAATTACTGCAGGAGACAGAATGAATTAAGCCTAAAGGCACAAAAAAGAGTCTGTACAATTGGGTGAAGCCCAGTTAGTAAAAAGAACACGATTTCCTATATTCTTTTTTAAATTTAAAGTACTATAATATTACTAGCAGTGCCAGCGACTTCGTCGTTACGTTGTAGAGTGATCCTCAGCTCCACTCGCGTAGATGATAGCGTGATAATATACACCCTATATGTTGACCCGACCTGTAAGTAATATTCATGAAAAATTTGAGGTCAATCCGTGTTGCACATTATGAGTCCATTCCGGACCGATCATACAGACAAACAGACAAAAATTCTAAAAAAAACATATTTTTGGCTTCAGTATCGATTGTAGACCACGCCTTAAGCTTTTTTAAAAAAAATATTTAATATACAGTTTATACTTTCCTACGGTTTTATTATAGATATTGTTAGAGGAAAATCCTTCTTAGAGATAAATCCTTCTTAGAAGAAAATCCTTTTCAGCCTAGTACATTTGTGCGATGACGTCAGCTGGAAGAGATGACAGGAGTGACACGAGAACGGAGCAGTGCTATGCAGCCGTTCACTCTTTTTGCGTTGGCGTTCGGACGAGACGGTTGTGTGGTTGTACTCTCAAGAGAGAGGGCTATTTTGCAACATTGGTGACCGCTAGTCTGAATTATAGTTATTTGTAGTTTTGTTACTTTTAGTTCTCGTTTAGGTTATTTTGCTTATGTTAAGATTGTAATTAAAGAGAGGTTAGGACTGTCAGTGTGTTTCTTTTTAAAAAACTATATTTCGTCCCATTGGAAGAATAAAGTGTTATAATCACATGTGTCGAAATTCATATTATGGTAAATTCGTCATCCTTATAATGTAAACTATCGATTAATACTATTTTTATAAATTTATATCAATTAATTCAAAAGATACATTGCTCGAATAAAGTTTTATCCGCGCCGACTACGTAAAATAACTATGCATGATCACATACAACAATATTCTCCGCCTTGCTCCTGCGCAATTAGCTGCGCGTGCCGTGTCGCTTCATCCTAAGTAACGTTGTTCGACGAAGTAGCAGCGAGTGGTGTTT